AAAACTACATTATATAAGGTATATTTACGTGTATCGATTTTTAAATGTATTACTTAAAATAGGCAACACACGACCAGACAAGCCACTTCATGGGAAGTGGTCATCGCCACCCGTGGGCATTTCCCATGAAAACCCTATGTGTACAAAGGAAACCCTAAGAAGCCCATTTTACATCTTACAAGTTCCAGGAAGGAACGAACGTGATACCCGCTTGGTCATAAATATCAAATCGAGGATGTGGGGTTGGGTTCTACCGCTTTTGCAGGTAGTGCGATAGGTGAAACGTGACAGTGTTAGCAGTTCCAAAAGCTCATCTGAGCACTCACCTATATACATGTATTTTATTTTATATACTTATTTATGACGCACACAAAAATATCTAAAGTCAAGCACTTTGACATGAAATTAGACGTCTAATAGGTTTTTTTACGGTATCTTTACGAGTTTAGATTCTCGATATTCTCGATTTAAGAGCGAGGAGTTAAATTTGTGACGATGCTGACCTCTTCCACCCTCGTCCCATCTTTTTATCCTCCTTTCTTGTTCCTTGTCACGTGTTTTTAAAATTTTGAATCGTTCTCGAATTCCCGTTTCCTTCCTTCACTATTCTTGTGTTTGGTCGATCTGTGATTACTCTTGAAACAAGAGGACGTGCGCACAAATCTTGTGTCAGTTACTTTTATTCGGAGTGTTATAATAATTGTACTTTTTTACATCATATTATTATTTCTTACAGCCTCTCTTTACCTCTTTTATCATCTCTTACGATAAATCTTGTGGACCGACCCTTTTACGGCTTGATATTTGTCAAGTATTTTTGAAGATAACAACGTTAATAAATGTCTATTGGAAAGGTGCAGTTAAACGTGTTGACGATTAAACATTTTAATCCAGCAATCTGCCAACAAAAATCCCATCAACCTGAACTGACAATTTATAAAATGCGCACTCAATCTCCGCCAACCTAAAGCCAGTGAACCGGAAAAATGGGTATGATCCCGGTGCCCGTGTCCGGAATGCGGTTGTCCCACGCTCGATTCTCATGACACATGCATCCTATATAGCACTTTCGCAACGTCCTCTTTCGTATAGGAGAATGTATCGATATTTCGATTACGAAAGGCGTAAAAGCCAAATTACAAAGGTTTTGTTCATATCCTTTTTTATTTTTATAACTATGTTTACGTAAATACCACCTTTTTTTAGTGAAAAATGTTTCTTTGACGAAACAAATTGAAAGAACTAGAAAAATTCACTCGACCACATAAGCACAGTTGTCAAATTGCCTTTTTCAACCTTTCTTCCCCAAAGTATCGTATTGAGAAAATTTTATTTATCAATACAGATTGCAAAAAAATAAGACACAGAATTTATTTCCGACTTATACAGCACACACAATTACAATCCCATTTAGCGTTAATAGGTACTTAGAAACTATGTTAGTAGAATGAAGTGTTCATTTGGCAGTTGCGACGTGCTGAAGTTGCAGTGGACTGGCCATATCTGTCGAAAAATCGATAACCGATGAGACATATTGGTTTTTAGTAGTGTAAGAGGAGCCCTCTGGCCAGGTGGAGCAGATGGATGCGATAAACTAAGAAATTGGCGAAATGGCGATCACTGGGAGTGAACTATAGACTATATCGAACTGTGGACTGTGATACGCTGATGATGACTTATTGACATCCATTGATTGAGGATTGAGCTATCCATTTTCTCTACTTATCATCAGCATGAGAAGACTGTTGGTGTTGCCCTGCACTCTGACCATTAGTAATGCCATTCTTTTGCGTAAAATCTACGGAGACATGTATTCTTAAAGTGCAGTTTTGTGACCTAATTGATAATTTACAATTACATTTACACTGCTTTTTTGTCGCTCAGTAGCGCAATCGATTCTAGGTATACTACGTCGTTGGTGTACGTTTGTATATAATTTAAAATTTTTAATTTATTTGCACCCGATATAGCCCATTGTGTTTCATATACAATTTAAAAACGAGGTCCGCTCTCTACGTTTCATTTGTAAAACAATTTCGTACACGTTTCTTTATACAATATTGCATTTTGTCAACTTTTGTCATTCCTTGCTTAGCAAAAACTGTTTGTATTTGAATGTATCAGAGTCCATCGTTTGGCTTAAGACATGTATATATATACGTACATCAGAATATTATACATTGGTAAGAGGTCTCTTGTCAAAACGTTCCTGTGCTGACTTTCTTATCTCTCATTTAAATATTGTCTAAACATTTTTGTCACATTGTGTTTTATTTGTTACTTTATGTCATTACTTTTTAATTGATTATTTGATTAGGTATTTTATAACTTTAATGTTTCATGTGTGTACCATAAAATAACCAATACTTTAGGTAGATAAACATTCAATCATGCTTAAAATGAAATGTACGTACAAGAACGTTACGTAGTCTATGGTATCAATTGCGTTTTGTTCTTGCATTTATTCTAAAATACATTGTTTTACAATTTTTTTATTCCCGACTTCTAAAAATATATTGATAACTAAGCATAAACTAGAACTTAAAGTTATACTAGCAAAATCCACTTTATAATTATTTGGTCAACTTTCGCCATCCTTTAGAATTTCAATATATTCCAATATAAAATTAAACTTAAAAAGTGTATACAAAATATATATACAAAAGAGATAAGTAGCGACCACGGCGATTCGCAACATGAGGCAAAGTACGTTTTTTAAATATGGCCATTTTTTACTGCCGCTTTCTATATTTGATCCTGAATGTAAAATTGTTTTCTATCCAGATTTTATTCTATCGACCGATCGCTGCCGGATCTGTATTTCAATATGTCTATCTCGGCTCTAGCGTCCTTAAAAAAAAGGATTGGTCAATTGGAGTGAAGTTCATTACATGAATTAGTGAATAAAATGGTGGTTATGTTTCTAAGATTAATTTATTTATACTTGTGATTGTTTTTGTCAAAAATATAAATTAATTGCAAACTTTGAAGTATAAAATATTTAAACCGTAAGTAGGTGATAGAATGACATGAATTTTCGAGGAAGCCTAGAGAGAGAGGCCCTAGAGGATGGAAAAATATAAAGCGAGCGTCAATTTATGTTTTGTTGATATTTGTTCGTATTCGTGACGTGATAAATAATCTAAATTATAAAAATACCATTTTGATTTGACTTTGATAAATGGCTTTATTTCATTTAAAACAAATTCAACTGATATTTTGTTCAGCCTAAATGTGAATGTAAACTCAGCGTCAGTTAAACTTGCCATGAAGTTTATACGCCTAAACGTTCTTGAGGACACAGGTTGCTTTTATTCCCTGTCTCTATTATACCAGTCTGATAACTGATCAAATTGTTCAAGAACACAGTCGCTATCACTTGAAATAACTTCCATTTTCACACTATTACACTGTGCAATCGGTAAAAATTGGAGGATCGCTATTTATAGATCGAACACATTCAAAATCCGATTTGTCAAACCTATGGATCGGATATTGAAAGCGGACAACTGTCACTGCCATACAAATGTCAATCTAAAAATGCCATCCCACGGATTAATTGAAACAAAAGATCGGAATAACGATCCATCGATCGGTTATTGAAATAGTAAAAATAGTATTTGGATTGATTATTCAAGCTTTGATAGCAATTTAATGATATTGAGAGATTATATAGGTATAGAAAGCGGCCGTTAGTCGACGTAAAAATTCGTTTTATAAATCTCGGTGCTAATGTGGACACCTCCACCGATTAGAATGTACCAACCGTTTACTTCGTTCGATATTTTTTTGTAAAACGTGTAGATTTCGTTTTTATCACCCTGTAGAAATACAATAGAGAGCCGTTATAGCTGATGCCATTGATCGGCACAAATGATATTTCTACATAATGGTTATTGAATCGTTCAGCAAAAATGCTTCGATGAATTAGCTCTCATGGGATAGTTCAAAAGCACTTTTGGCTTGTAGGTAATTTGACAAATTTAAAATTACACTTTTGTAGCGATGTTTTTTAGTTCTATTTACTTTTTAATTCTATTTCGGAAGTTGCCAAAATAACTTTCAAAGAAAAAAAGAATTTGCTTATCATTGACTTACAATTATATGGACATCGGGTCCGTGCTAAAAAGTGTCCGAACTTATAGGGCGTTAAAATCGTATACAGAGCGTCATTCACGCTTTAGTCTTCGTTTGTTCGACTGACATCGAAGCAAGCTAAATTAGGCAGTACTGCGATGACGTTACAATTTAAATTCAACGTTTTAGCTTTTTCATATTCCTTTACATGTCACTACGTTTAAATAGGTTGACTTCGGACATCTTTTTCGTGGTTTTTGTATTAGACCCGTCGTCCATTTATTTGTAAGTCAATGTTGCTTATATAAAAAAATCTTACTTTATATAAACTGTCTTGTATATAGGTAATGTCTTTTAAAAGGTGTAACAATGTCTTATAAAAGAAATTAAATATTCCGCAGAAAATTCTGTAAACCTTTTATCCTCCACATTTTTCGACTCCAAAACCCATTGGGACACCACAAAAACTTTACTGCAGTTCTACTGGGGCACATCTTTTGTTTGTTCGTCTAGCCTGTATCTGTAGGGGCACCTAAGCGGCAAACTTCTCCAGTACTAGCATGAGGGGAACTACGTTAGATAAAGCATTTAGAGCAATCGTTCCGAAATAAAGATGTTTAAATTACGTATTGTAATGATAAATGCATTCAAATGTATTTTTACAAAGAGCAACCCTTAGAGTTTCTCGCTCATATTCTTCATCTTACGAATGAGCAGTAGAGTATAAAATCAGTATAACGATTTGAAGTGTAAAATGCTTACCTATGAAACAAACATTATTTGACTTTCAAATAATTTCCTCGTGATTATTCTGAAATTTTTTTTAAATTGGAAGTATCGGTCATGACGAAGTTCTAAGAATGTTAGTTATAGGCAATAAAATGTGATATATAATCTTTAACAAACTGATTTTATTATTTCAGAAAGAAGATCGAATCGCTGGGCAGGATGACGGCGATGTCGCAGGAGGAGCTGGTAGCGGGCGCGCGCACCGTGGCGGCTGGGCTCGAGGCACTTCGGGCCGAGCACGCTCAGCTGTTGGCAGGGCTCGCTGGACCCGCCGCCGCTGACCACGAGAATGAGAAAGCCGCGCTTGTTAGGAAGAGCATTGATGCCATTGAGCTGGGGCTTGGTGAAGCGCAAGTGAGTGTTACGCAAGTTAATTTGTTTATTTTTACCATTTCGACGATATTTTTTTAAATGTTTTCGGGAAACAAACACCAGAAGTGTATATCGTATGCTTTTTATTCCTGGTTTCATCATCCATTAAGGACAACTACCACCAAGTTACCATCCGCGGTGTTTTCGCAACCAGATAGTTCTCTGCAGAGACAGGATGTGTATATGGATGTACTCCAACACAGTCCACGAAGTACTTGCTCATGTGTCCCTCGCCGCGCCAGCGCTAGCCCATGTAACGCCCAGATGCAACCAATTTCGTGGCGCCCTCTACTATGCACTAACATTTGCAGTTACATTTCCCATCGAGTATATCACCAGAAATAAGGGCCATCCATTCCAGGCAACTCATCAGGCAAATGGGCCTTATATCCCTTTTAAATGTCAACTCTCGTTTGCACTGGAATCACAAATTAGAAAGCTGAAATAGTACAGCGCCAACAACTGACCTGCGTGTACGTTTCCGTATATTCTAAAAATATTTTGTATTTATAGTATTAAAGATAATATCACTAACAATGGGGAACAGTTCCATTCGGTGGCCTGTTAAAAACAGTAAAACATCTAATTACAAAACAAACGGAATCACATTTCATCGGTAATTAAATATGTATGTAATTTTGAATTTAGTCCATTATAGCAAATCTCAAGTTATACTGGTCGTTTTGAAATGAAACAATTGACGAGACCCGTCGTTCTTTTTGTTATTTGTTGTAATTGTTTCGAATTCGGGCTGGCCAATTGGAGCGCAGTTGTCATCGTAATGATTTGGCAGAGGTTTTTCGTCTCTATTTCTGGTTACATACTTCCACATGAATTTTGTTGTAGGTTTTTTTTTATAATATCAAGTGACGGGACGATGTCTGCCTGATGGTAAGCCACACGCCTGTCCATAACAGTTGCTGTCCACTCAGAGGTTTAAATCGCAAAGATCTGAGGGGCACTGCCACTCTGCCCGTCACGCTGAGACATAAGTTGACAAGTCCCATGTGCCTGTAATATCACCAGCACCCATACCTTTCAAAACCGGAACGCAATATTTCTAACATTACTGCGTGGCGGCAGAAATAGGTAAGGCAGTATAGGGAATAGGTGAGGGAAAAGCAGAAGAAAGTCTGTAACAAAAAACAATGGTATAAAACATAGGTACAATGCTATAAAAACACTTCCCTTACTTAAATTACATACTGATATGCTTATGGATGAATATAAAGTAGACAGATACCCTAAAAGGGCCTGTGTTGCTGCTTTATAAGCAGTTAGATTTACATGATTGGAGAACACGTCTTTTCTATCCGAGAATTTAAAGAAAGAATGACGAAGAAAAATAATTGGAGAACGATTAAAAGTTTTAAAAGTAAGTGGCCAGGAACCAGAAAACATGATGATAAAAAGGTGGGATGACGATCGCAACACAATAAAATCGAAACTGGAACGGATGGGAGCCCGAAAATCTGTAGCACAGGGCACAGGTCTAGTGACCTAGTAATGACTCCACTATCTCGTTTAAGGTAGTGAGTTAACTTTTAGTCTCATTTATCAATGTAATATTTATATAATTTTCCTTTGTTTACAGTAAATAAATATTCGAAATGAAATTATACTCATGGACATATTTAGAGGAACGCTAAAAAAGATTGAATTGTTATAACGTGCTTATGAACCATTGGCCAACTATGTTAGAACGTAGAAATTAAAAGACGTTTGAAGCGCTTATTTCCAGTCGTCACCACTGGCTTTGTTGTCACTGGTGACAAATGTGAAATAAGACCCATATGTTACCAGGTGGTGACATACGGAAACAAAACTCCATGTGACTATTGATTTCCACTGGCGACAAATGGAATGTGTAATTTATCATTAAACTCGAATTTTATTTTATTCCCTTTCGATAGCGGCAATAAACAAACATTAATTGGGATTTTTATTCCACTGGGAACTACTGGGATATTTTAAATTCCATTTGTTGCCAGAGGCAACAACAGATCTTTTTATCCCATTTGTCGCCACTTGGTAACTATGGATGTTTTTCCCAGTTGTTGACGATTAAAATCACCAAAACTGAGATTTTTTTACCTCGTTTGTCGCCACCTAGTAACATGGATTTTTTCCCATTTGTTGCCAGTGGGAATAAATCTAGTCAGTGATGATGACTGGGAATAAGCGGGTTGAAGTAATTATTTTTTCAAATTAAACGTTCAGTTATATGTTAGGGCCTTAATTTTCATATGAACATTGTTATCATAATTCAACCTTTTTCTAGCGTACCTCAAAATATGTTCAATAGTGAATTTTTAAGCTCGATATCGCGTGTTATTGTTGTATAATATATTGGTAATTTTAGAGCCTAAATAATCTTTTTTGTTCCAATGTGTAGCGATCGAAAACCTAAGAACTCGATAACGAAATAAAATGTCTTTGTTGTTGTTTACTTTATCTTAAACATGTTCAATATATTATAACCTTAATTCTATTGTTCAGAAAACGTGATGTCCGCCACATGACAAATACACACTGATATGTTCTGTGGTTTGTTTGCGGTGAACCGTGTCCTATATCTTATAGGATTACACATTCGATGAAAATATAAAATTACTACCACGTTGGTGCGCTGCTCTGTGATATTATTATTGATTGTTGTTTTATTTTGGATTTAACATTTGTACTGACGAAAAATTAGACCCGTATCAAGTGGAGCTTAATGGAATCAATCATTCTTCTTGATTGAATCATGATTATATTAATTACACCTGGGCCTATCGAGCACAATGAGTTCAGCAACAATTTTAAGTGACAGTCAAATTTTTCGATGAGTGAATTAATATATATTTTATCGAATTCTTAGGTTTTCGCGATTGTTACACATAGGAAATGAAACTATTTTCCCGGGTTTAAATCGCGTATAATTGTTTTTTCAAACAAACCGACGTTTTGGGCCCTTCACAGGTCCCAGTCAACTGTGACCATGGGACCTGTAAAGGGCCCGAAACGTCGGTTTGTTTGACAAAAAAATATACGCGATTTAAATCCGGAAAAGTAGTTTCATTTCCTAAATATATATTTTTTTCATAAAATATATAAGTGAGGAGGTCAAATACCTCCATTTCACCTAGTGGAAAGTAACGTTGAGGTCGACGATACAGCATGCACACATAAATAATGCCTATTCGCTCTCGCGTTGAAAAGGTCCAAGTTATAACGTTCAGGGAATAAGTCTGCAGGCAGGGAATTGCACTCCATAGCCGTTTACCATATAAATATGGAAGAGTAACGCTTAGTGCGAATCTTTGGAATATCGACAATATAGGGGTGGAACTCAAGCCCATGTCTGGCATGGTATAAAGAATTTACTACGAGTCCCAGAGCAACGGAATTCACTTTAGGACGCTACTTAAAACACCCAGATCAGAACCAATTTAAAAAAGTTTATTTCCCAAATTGGTCCTCATCCAGCATCCATGGTTTAAATTAATGTTGGGCCTTCGAGGTCGTCAAAAGATAGTTAATAGCATACCATTTGTATATCGTAGTTAATCCGAAGCCACCCGCTGTACACCCCACGTACCCCCTTGGCGTGTCCTAGATTGCACACTATAAAGGACTGCATCGCAGCTTCTGTGTATCTAGGTCGCCTAGATAATGGCTAGAGGACATACAGGGAGTAATGAAAAGGTGCTACCATATTTGAGTTGGTGATTTTACACTTGTATTAACAATCAATAGCGTGTGAAGATGCTGTATTATATATAGTATATTCTGTATACCCCAGGGGGAGATAGGTGTTATAATAAATGTATGTAACTGTTGGTCCTGGCTCCATGTTCTTATTAGTGGTAATCACAATAGATCAAGAATTGGTGATGAGGGGCTGCAAAGTCCCTGAAATGAAATATGTGACTAACTTTTTCAATACAATTGACTTCTTAATTTCAATACCGTCTATAGAAAGTATGTACTTCTATTCGAGCATTAATAAACCGGCTCGGGCTTGAAGCGGTTACACCTATGCTCCAGTCATACAATGTACTATAAATTCGAAAAAAGTGGTATATTTACATGGGTTACCAATTTGTTAGATGATTCTTTTTTATAGATGATTCTTTATGGCATATTAATAATTACAGTGACAACATACTACAGTAAGTATATTTTAATAAGCGGTTGTACCGGGTCAAGAGCACGTCAAGCTGGACACTTAAGATTTAAATCCAACTCTATGCCGGTTTCGATAAGAACGGTCCAAAGTACAAAGTGTCAAGCTTGCCGTGCTCTTGACTGTACAACAAGCGACCTTATTCCTTTTGTTAAAAAGATGCTCGCTTGACCACAATATCGTCAGTTATTACGTGAACATGTGATTGAAGATGATACGCGATTGTCCAAGAAATACCTTTGATAGGCTTCCAGTTCCAGTAAATCTTAGTAAAGTTAATTAGTAATGTAAATTGGTGTAAGTTACACCCTGTATAAGCTTTAATGATTGCACTGGGTATTTTATAATAAGAATTCCAGTAGTAGGGCCAAGCACGTGAAACTTGACAGTTAAGATTTTAATTCAACACAAATGATACATTAATTTGTTGTACTCGATTCGTTATTTACTAGCCAAAGTATTTCGTTATCCATTGTCAAGTAAATTTTACAAATGTGTTTGAATATGTCCCTAAAGACATTTCTTCATTAGTGCCGCTAGATGGCGTTGACAAATTTTTGATAATAAATACGATGTAATAGTAATTAACTTTTAAGATTATAACTTAACGTTAAATCGTTATTTTATCTCGTCGCTATGTAATACAAACTCAGTCTAATTATGACTCTCAGGGTCGTATTCTAGAACTCTATTCAATGCTCTAGTCAGGATTGCACTGGCAGCACTAGCACTGGAAATACGACCCTAATGGCAGGGACTTGAGTAAGAATTCGAGTGCTTTAAACCATACTCTAATCCTGACTTGAGCATTAAGTAGAGTTCTGGAATACGACGCTTAGATCGATAAGGCTCGAATTCACTGTCAACGTATGTGACGAACGTTTTGTGTTTGTGTTTTCCCGTGAGAGGTCCTTGAAAGTGGCCAGTATACCTCTTGTATAGGTTCTGTAGACACTTCAGAAACCTACCTTAAATACTTTTAAAGGGAACTGAACCGTTGTTTACGTTGTCATCACTTGTTATCGAAATTGCGGCATGAG